CCTGGGCACGGGTACGCGGGGCGCCTCACCCGGTGCCGGGACGGAGACTTGCCGGCCTGCGAGCCCCGGGGCTGTGCCGGTTGTTAAGTCTGGCTCTTGCCTGCCTGGTGTGGGGGGCACGCCGAGCTGTGCTGCTGCGGCAGTCGGGGAGCGTCTGTTGCTGTCAGTGGTACCAAGGCTTATGCTCGCTTGCCCGATGAGTTCCAGTAAGGATCCAGCCCAGTTTTCAGTTCTCCACAGTTACAGGAAATGTTTGATCAAACTGGGGTGCTGCAGAGAAGAGCTGTGAGACTGGGAACAAAGATAAGGATTTTTCTTTTTTTTTTTTTTTTTTTTTCCCCTTCCCTTCACCAGTACTATTAATTCAGCTGGAGAAGTGCTGGACTTCAGCATTGAAGGAACTGTGGTATAAAATAGTCACATTGATTAATTTCCAGTCTTCAGAATTGTCCTCCCTCCACTTGCACAGCAGAAGGAGGAATTGTGCTGGTTTTAACCCTTATTGTATATATCTAGTAGAATCTATCAAGAGCCTTTTCCTGATATTTAGGTCTGAGCAATCTTAGTTCCTTCAGTTTTCTTGCAGGTATTGGCAGCTTTAATTCAAATTGTTTAACTACTTGGTTTTAAATATTTTGCTTTCTGAATTAAAATGTAAATACAAAGGTTAATTAAATTTCATGTTTGCTTGTTTTTTTAGGGAAGTATGTAATGGTGATGGGTGTGGTGCGGTCCTGCAGTCCTGAGCCTGTTCTTCGAGCGGTAAAGATGACAGATCTTTCTGAAAACCCCGTGCATAAGAATATGTGGAGCCTTGAAGTGGAGGATTTGCACAGAGTCATCCCCTAGATACTTTTTCTTCTGCCTAAAATAACTGGAAATGTACTTTTTTTTTTTGTCTTCGTTTTTTTTTGGTGCAGAACATTGGGGCTTTCTCTGTATTTGTGGTTTCAAACAACCACCAGGTACTCTTGGAGTGAAGTGAGAAGTCAGGCTCAGAGTTAAGTGGAGGGATCAGTACATATCTGATAATAACCACAATGTTAATCTCTTTCACAGTCTTTTTATACCAACAGACTTGAGAAACACTTATTTGATGCTTTGAGTAACACATCTATGCTGTTCAGAATACTACATGTTCTACAGACGTTAGTTGCTGTTTCTAGGAACACGTGTTTAGTCATCCCTGTAGCGTGCGTTGTTGGCAGCAAGGGCTGCGCAGAACTCGTGTTACCAGGGTGAACCCGAGACGTGGAATGGAGGCAAAATGTGTCCATTTAGTCTGTGGTTCAAAAGAACCTCTTTGCCTCTGTTTTCTGTTTCAGTAATAACCATGTCAGTAAACTCTACTTTGAGACAGGTGTGTCTGTCTAAGCAGTTCTTGTACTTAAACACCTCCCTGCTTTCTGGGTTTCTGAAATACCGAAAGTGGTACAGTGATAACCCCTGTGTTCCAGTGAAGTGAAATTAACTGAAAAGCTGTGGTGCAGGATTCCTTGGAATAGGTTCTCCAGGTTCAAGATGCAAATACCATTACCACCTCATGAAACAAACCTGCTGTGCTAAAGTGCATTTTTCTCTTTGAAGGTTTCCTTTCTTGTTCCAGTGTATGCTATTTTTAATTGTTTAAATCATTCTTAAATATATTTTATTTTAATATTTCTTTCCTCTTCCTGTGGGGAAAAAACCCCACAACTATGAAATCAAATCAAAAAACCTTTAAAAAGTGGAACTGTTACTACTTTTTATTTCCCCTCTTGTCTAAAAAAGAATTTGAGTCCTGAAGGAAAGCCTTGCATTAGCCATGTGGTATGGCTTTGTAGTTTGGGGCTATATTGTCCAGGAATACAGTTATGTTAATGAGGAATGCATATAGGAAGGGAAGATCCTCTCTGGTTGTACAATTTAAGACAAGAATTAAATGGTGGTAACTACATTTGAAAACTGTGGGATTATGTTTTCAAAGCATCTGGAAATTAAATACTGTCTTTTAAGTAGATCTTTAAATGAGATCTTTACAGATTAAGGACTGGATTTCAGAGTGCGGTTCCAGCCTTGAGTTTAGTATTCCAATCCAGACCACATCAGAGGCAATTGTATAATGGAAGTCCTGTGCTCTGAAACCCTGCTGATAAAATGCCAAAACACATGTACAGATAAAACATTGGCAGTCTGGGTTTATTTATTGTTTTTAATGTTGGAAAAAAATCCACTTGTGGAATGCTTTCAGAAATGATCCACATGGTTGACATACTGGCCGGCAACTGCTTTTGTCTGGTGATAGATACTTTTCCATCTGAGTGCTTATATAAGGAAGGAGAAGCTTGTTCCAAGTAAGTTCACCTTGCCTTCTAACTAGGTAGCAAAACCCTGGAAATAAAGAGCTAAAAGTCTGCTGCATCCTGGCTAGTGTCAGTTTACAGCAGAATTGAGTGTGGCTTGTAGCCCCGGTTGTACAGCTGGTGGGTGCACAGTGTAGTGGCTGTCAGGGGTGGAACTGCTGTTCTTCCATCTGGCAGTGATGCACAGTCAGTGCATCTGAAAAGTTGTATTTATATCAGATTGGATTGGTGTTATGTGGGGCTGGATTGGATTTGTAGAGGATTTCTTTGCATCTTTCACCACCCTCTCCTATCCAGAGGCTCATGAGTCAAAGCGTCTGGGGTTTCTTTGCTCACTCACTAACAGGCAGTTCCAAGCATAATAAGATGTAGATCTCTTCAGTGTCTGCTGGCTCTGTACGGTACACTCGACATCACTAAACACCCAGGCATGGGCACCGCTTCCAGCCCCCAGCAGGTTTCACATACTTGATCAGTACAAAGCTATTAGTGTTGCTCGGCAGTTGAGTGGAAGGAGATCTGCTCCTGAACTGAAGTGGCGTTTCAGTAAGGCTGGCAATTACACTAGTAAAACAGTAACTTCCAAGGGTTTTAAAGCCAGGACTGGATGCTTTTATGACAGTTTACATTAAAAAGTGCTTTCCTAGGAATTCAAAGCAAAAGATGCTCTTGGCACAGTTGAACGTTGAGCTTCTAAACAAAAGGTGTCTAGTGATTGCTCTGAGTTTAGCTGTGCTTTGCCTAATGAGTAGCTGATGATGCTTATGGCTGCTGGTGCCTTCTGTACCACCTAGGTTTAAGGGTCAGGCTGAAGTGCCTCACCTCGGGGTTTCCACAGTATGGCACCCTTGGGCTCTACGGGGTAGTGGGAATTCTCCCTTTTCCACATCTTAACTCGTGTCTCAAGTCCTACATTAGCATGTGGGTTTGTGACTTTGGCAGCTGTTGCACAGCAGAGCCACACAGAGAGGTTACAGGGCGAGTGCCTGCTCTAGCCCAGTCCTGGGGAGGGTGAGGTCTCAGCTGGGATCTGGTGCCTGGTGTTTGGGCCTTGAAGGGGGCAGGAGGATGGCCGTGGCTGGCAGGAAGGCCTCTGTGCACTCGGTGTGAGCTCTGTCCTGACTGCACCCAACCTGGATTTATCTGGGGGTACGTGCCAGGCCTGGGGAACCCAGCTAGTGGGAGCGTGAGGCAGTCACTGCCTTAGTCTGTGGTAGAGCCTCAAACCATCAACGTCGCTATTGAGTTCGGGGACATAAGAGCTTGTGTGGTACATGTAAATCTTTGTGACCTTTGTAGAGCTGGAGTGTCTGTATATGGCCTAGATAAAGGGCATGTTGAAGGTGAGTTGTAGGCACTTAAAAATACTCTTGGAAAAATGCCTTACCCTCCCTGCATTCCTGCAAGGACAGCTGGGTGTGGGCAGGTGTCTTCAAGGCGTTCTGCTTCAGGGAGTTACGGGTGCAGGGGTGCTGGCCAACAGCAGGCCGGGACGCGGGGTCAGAGCCCTTTGTGTGGCGTGGCCTGCAGGTCTGTCTGCTGTTCGGTGGGGTTTAGACATTTTTCCATAGGACAGTATAGTTTGTACTGCATTACCTTCACCTGAGGCATGACTATTTCAGATGACTTCAGTCAAGGTGTCCCAAAACGGGCAGTATTACCAGTAGTGTTATACTAGAGGTGCTGATAAAGTGGGGGGGGGGCGTTGCAGAGGAGAAGGCCAGTTTTGAAATACCAAAGCTGAAGCATCGAGCTAAGAAATGATGCTGTCAGATCCTGCCGAGGGTCTGTCTGTACTGGGCAGCGCCGTCAGGGGGGACTGGGGGCGCAGGGGCCGGCCGGCCGGCTGGACACACACACAGACACACACACTCCGCAGGGGCCGGGGGGGCTGCGCGTTCTCCGGAGCCGGGCGCTGTCGCCCCCTGGTGCTGTCCGGCGGGTGCAGTAAAAAACGTACTCCAGCAGAAAAATAAGGTAGTCCAGCGTTTATTAACATTATTTCATCATTCAGAACACCATTATTTCAATCTTTGCATATTATGCAAAGGCATCTGCAGGATTTTGCAATGTTACTTTTTACTAAGGAATAATTGCATTGCTGGTACTGTATGGAGAAATGCATTTTTTAAATCAATAGACATGCAACTTAGTAATTTAACAGATGAGACACTTTCACACAACAATATAACATTTTAAGACTACGTCATGGGTAGGATAGGTATCAGTCACCTTTTCCCAACATGTAAACTGGTATCTGAGAAGGGCGTTCTACAGACATAGAAGGAGAATGTGAAACATGAGAGACAGCCTTCTTGGCATCTGTTCATTTAGCAAGGTACACATCAGTAAGCATAAAAATGAGAACATTATTAAATGCTTCCAATTATTTAACCATCTTATGTCTTAGCCCTCTTGTCTGCTGGGGCACTTCCCTGGAAAAAAGTCGCTTTCTCCAGAATTGACTGAACTGAGTATCAGTTCTAGAGAAAAAAGAAGTCAGCATCTCTGCACAGGTTCAAAGCCACGAGTAGCCCACTTGTACTAATCTGAGCTGGAAAAGACCTTTTGTCATCTTTTAGATGTATTCATGCTATGGTCCAAGGCTTGTGAAGAGGCAATTTTGCCACTGAATGGGAGAATTCTTTTAAAGAAACCAATACTCTTATGTCCAATTTCTTCTGGTTGATTATAGTTTCTTGGCACTGTACTGAAATCTTTCCTCTTACCCTCAGGTGTTTCTGTGTGAAAAGCTTTCCTTGTACACTAGATATATATGCTTCATTATATTCAGAGTCCTAACACTAATTCATTCACACTTTCACTGCTGTCCCTACTATTGCTTCTAGCTTGTCTACCTACAACAGCCTGTTCTGGGCACTGAAAGGGTTCTTCCGTCTTCCGGGCTGGTATCTGCCATTCAGAACTGGCTCAAGCTGAAAGGATGAAGAGATGAAATCCAGTTAAGTTGTTAGTAAGTACTTAAGGGACAGAAAGTAACAAGCGACATGTAATACAAGGTGTTCTTATGTCGAATTACAAGAAATCTATGAAGGGAAAACCGGCATCAAATATATTTATGACATCAGAAAATTGTGGGAAAAAGTATACTAGCATTTTAGATACAGTTCTATCTTAGCTACACTAAAATGAAATAAAGAGGTAAGGTTCTTCATGTTTGATGATAAATTCACATTTAGGAGAAAAAGAGCAGCATTATTACTAAAGTTTATGGGCTCTGGCTAGTTCAGCTATCCAATGAAAGATCCTTGACAAGATGGAATTCTAGAAAGTAGTGTGGAGTCAGCTATTACTGACTGCATTTTTCTCTTTTGTTCTCATGACCTTAGATGGCTGTTGGTCACTGTGCGTGACAAGCCAGCCATTACAAACTCTTTCACAATATCAAACCTCCCTTACTGCAGTTTGGTCTGTGCCACTTCCTTCTCTTTAGTGTGTTTACATATTTAAAGATTTAACTTGCGTCTTTCCTTGACCCATCAGTTTTTTCCCCACACAGAGACCTTCTGATTTTTCTCAACTGATCCACAACTTAACTAAAATATGGTGCCCAAAACTGGATACATGAAATAAGAAGAATTAATTCTTGTCTTAAATGTTTATTCATGTGACCATCCGCAGTATACTTGGCTTATTTAACAGATGCTTTAATAGCATATTATTATTGTTAACTGAGCTTGTGATCCACTGTAATTCCAATCCCTGTCCGCAGAAACGGGACACTAAACTAGCAGCACTAGCTGACTTCATCCTTTTGGCTACTGAGCCATTCTAAAACTGTTTTCAACTGAATATTCAGGCTCGCATTTAACAAAGTTTGTCTCTGTATTTCGTACTCTTCTGTTGAAGAGTTTATATAAACCATGTGAGCTAAAACCACTTTCTGCCTATGAGATACTGCCCAGAAATTTTGGGGCCATCTACTGCTTACACACTGGGTGAACTGAATCTGTAAGGAAGATAATGATATGTGCCATTATTACTGCATATGGGAGTGTGATGCATGTGATGCACACACTTACATATACTGAGTGTTTTCTTGGGTTTTATTTTATGGCTAACACAATCATGTACAAACTCCTGATAGTTATTCCCTTCCTTAGTGGGTGAGAACTCAGCAAATAATTGTAAAGATTTTTTAAGCATATCACAAATATGTTTGTAGTCACTAAATCACTCTTTTAGAAGTTGTAGTGAGTTTACTAATGCAAATGAATAACACTTCATTGCATGTATTAAAAAAAACCCACCATGTTTTCTCATTACTAAGCCTTAGCAAAGCATGAAGCCTAAGTTAGGAATGTAAACCCAAGTGCTTAGTTTCAACCAAAAGCAGAACTGGCTTTTCTGCGTGATCCTGTCATTTACTTAAGACTAAATGTTTCCATTGCAGTCTTGTAAAAATATAATTATGTCTTAAGTTCTTACTTGGGCAAGCTTATCAGTAATTAGTATGACAGTAACTTTTGTGTGTGTTTCCTTTAATGTTCTCATTCAGTGAAAAGATAGCAAATTTCAGAGAAGGCTTTGTCCTTTTTTTGTCTAAGGAATAACATCATGCAGATGAATTGAAGAGTTACATTTTGGGGATGTTCTTGGTCATCTCTCAAGACAATGATACGTGAACAGTCAGTACTACTCAAATGGTGTAAGTTATCATTGTTTATGTATCATTTATCTAAAATAATTTGCAGTCAATAAATATCACAGTTCAAAGAAGGTACTGTACACAGAATATCCAATGGAGACAAAAAAAAACCCCACACAAAACCTTGAGAAAAGATATATAGTGCAAATTAGTGAATGTACATAACATAGAAAATGCTGAAATATACAGCCACTATCATCCTTAAATGGTGAAGTTTCAGATTGCTGCAGTGCTCCGGCCCAGCCAGCCGCTTCCCTTTAGGTGCTTCTGTTGCACAGTAGCTCAGTTGGGCTGGAGTAAGGTAACACCTGCTGGACATGGCAACTGTATGGCTGAACTGTGCAGTAACTGCAGTAGTAATAATGTAGTAACTGAAGAAAATAAGCAAGAGGGGACTAATTTTATTACTAAGAAGTATGTTGGGGCTATGGACTTTTATACACTTTTTTTTCTTTACACAAGAAGAATTCTTTCCTTAAAACCCTGCACTCACTAAGTAATACAGACACAGCAGAACACGACTCCAGTCTCTTTTGAGCAGTAACTGTACTAATCTAGTTTCTGCAGCGACGTGCAATGCAGCAGCATGTGCACCTTTACCAAAAAATGTGAGGATCCATAACTCGTTTGCACAGTAACAACAGAAATCGGCAAGGAGTGTAATGCCAAAAATTTCAAGCCAGCACTGCTGCTTTTTTCAGGCTTTTCAGTTTTTGTTGCATTTTTAAATAGATTCCTGGAAGACAGCTATTTGGATGACAGCTGCATTAAAATATAGGTATTGATAATCTTTAAATTCTAGGTTACGTTTAAAGAAGATAGATACATTTCATTAAGAGAGACTGAAAAGTACAAAAACAATCACACCATCTTCGGCCAGTATCCTCCTGCCTCCTACCCAGCAAACCAGGGGGATATAAGAAAGCCATTAGCGAGGATGAATTGGACAGGTTATGGTGTGCTTCTGAGTGAACAGCACAAAGGGGGAGACAGACAGGGAGCACGAATAATGCCAGGAATAGGATCTTTTTGCTTATGCCCACAGTCGATCCATGAGTTATTTTCTCATGTGCTCTTGAATAACAGACATGTAAGTACGGGAGCAAGCAGCTGGAATACTCATGGTGAAAAGACACAAAACTTACCACTGAGGAGGAATTTCCACAGGGACAAAATTTCGGTTGCACAAATGGACAAAAGCTGCTGCTAAACTGCAGGCAGCCTTCAGCTCCTGTGAGTGACAGGTGTCATAGGCACACATGGTGTAGAATGGCGCAGGGTCCACCTTTAACACAAAGGGGATTGCTCAGAGGAGTGGTGTGCAGCTCTTCTGCAGACAGCCATCTGGCAAGGCCCCTGCCCGTAAACCGAAAAGGAAGTTTGATTTGTGTCTCCCCCCGCCCACCCCTGTGAGGACCATTCACAAACCTCTATTCTCCTCCTAATACTGAGGGGTTTGTTTTATATTTCCAAATTCTAGACCTGTTTGCTGAAGAGTGGTGCAAAGTCATGCCACTACTCTGTGGATGTCAAGGACCGTGATTTATATTTATGGTGAGACACCACCATTTTGTCTGTCTGGGTTGTTCTGCTGACTTCTGAAGTTATCTGCAACTAAACTTCTATACCCTCACAACAATTGCATGCGCTCCCTCGAAGTATGACACCTGTGTATTCAGATAGTCCTTTGGTGGCTGGAGTTATACTTACAACTTTGAAGCAGTTCCGAAGAAGTGAATGTGATTCTTCAAAAAACACTTTACAGACTCCTTGGTTACCTGTAACTGGACATGGCTTCACTTTCTTCTGTACCAGACTGCACCTGTTCACCTGGGAAAACAGAATTACCAAAGTTGGGGGGTTTTGTTTCTTTTTTTTTAAACATCAGTGTAGCACAAATCCTTGATTTCCAGTATGAGATGGTTTGAAGGAAGATATGGACAGCTCAGTACACAGCTCTGATTAGCATTTATTAATACTGAGACTACCTTGCACTCTTCATAAACAAAAATGTATGGCTCATAAATATTACACATTACAGACATTGTTTCCCTCTTCTGTGGATTTTCTTATTCACTGAAGGATTTCTGGTGTGTGGCTGCTGACACAGTAGGTAGTTGTCCTAACTTTTATTATCTATCACAGATCACAGTTGTGCTTTTACTGGATCTTTTTGTTGGAGAAAAGAGGTTCATATCCTTGCTGGGTTATTCATAGATAATAAACCACAAGAAATTAAAAAAAAAAAAACAAACAAAAAAAACCCCAAACCAAACTGGAGGTCCCTACAATTACAAGCATTTTTGGATAATAAAATGTGAAGGAATTTTAGTTGTACATGACTCAGGTAAAGTCCCTTAGCACACCAGTCAAAATCTGATGATACCAAATATTAACAGAACTAGTAATGAGCTGCATTTGCTGAAGTTTCTTAGGCTTTGTTTTGTCTGAATGCCATTTTTAGTACTCTGTATCAGATCAGCAACTTACTGGTCTTTTAATCAGTAATTTCCTGGGCAATCTTTTGAGTCTAGAAGTTCTTTAAGCAAGTGTAAACTCAAGTTATTTTAATTACTAAGAAAAATTAACTGCCAGTTTAGTCTCTCAGATAACCCTCATCCTGCAGGAGTCGCACATTTGCAGTCTCCTTATTAACCTCCTCCTCGCACAGCAGCTGGTCTTGCAGCACTAGAACCTCACTGATGTTATTTGCAAGGTCAGTGTATGACAAAGGCTTGTAGTAAAGCTCCTGGTAGCGAGTTCCAGTCTGAGTTTACAGTTTGTTATAAGGTGACTCCAGCAGTCGTGACTGACAGCTTTTATTTCAGGCTTTGATACCTGGCCAGATTTAACCTGACTGTGGTTTTGCTTCCTGTGCCATGTATAATTGTGCTAAAACTTCTGGTCTGGAAGGATTTTTGCAGGGTCCATTCTATCAACACAGCTGAATACACTGCCCATTTGAACTGGGTATTTACACCATATCATCCCTTCCTTACTGCTTTAGAAAGTTTCTAAACTTTTCTAAACTTCTAAACTTTGCATGACCTTCTGACTTGGCACATTTGTATTTCTGGCCATTGCTTTAATGATGTATGACAGCAGTACATTATTGGCAAGTCACTCTTTTTATTACTTTTTTCTGAACAGGACATGACTGCAGTTGGCACAGAGTTCAGCTAGAGTTGTCTTCAAATTTTCTTGGTGGTATACAGCGCTGCAAAGTGCCATGGCCAACAAATAAAACACAAATTGTTAGTGTAAGTGCAGCTTTTATGCCCTCAGCCACTTGAAGGAGGACATACATGACTTGCCAGCTTGTTTATGACAGTAAGTTTCTTATGTATTGCTTTAATTGGTTATTATTTTCAGTTCAAATTCTCTGGGTAGTTTTGCATTAGATGACTGTATTTTTATGAATATTAGAATTTATTATTTGTAGCAATTAAGAAAATTATATCTGCAGTCAGCGATGTCACGATCCTGCCCCATTATTAAGATAAACATAGGCTGCAAACTCATTAGATCTCCAACAGCAAGGAAAAGTACAAGATACTTGAAGCAATCCTCTTTTCAAAATAAAGTACTGAAATAAAGCTGGAAATAGTAGCATTCCTGTGCCCAGAACTTGGACATCTCTTGGTGAGAGAAGGTAAAGGGAAGAGTCACAAAATCTTAGTAGTAAGAAGATGCTGGGTTTTTTTCGGTAATAGATTCTAAAATTAGGTTTGAGGGGATTTAGAGGATCCTGTCAACATGGATTGAGAGCACAGTAAGGCTACCTTTTGTCAGTCTCATTCACAAACGGCTATGTAGAGGTGCATGTTTCCATATTTAGATTATTGTCAGCTGAAGATAAATTCCATGAATTAAGGTTAAGTCTCTTTGAAGCAAAGAGGTATAACGTTACTGGTATGAGAGTAAAATGGTTGCAACATTCATTTACGATAGTTACAGGAAGTCCTTTTATGCAAGTTAGTAACTGAATTGGTAGCAGCTAACACTCCGAAGAAGTCTCAGGACTTAGTCATATGGGGACGGAGGCGACTTTACTAGTTACTGGTTTCTGAAGTTTTGTTTCTTGATAATATGAAAACCAAGAACAACAAAAGAAATGAGGCTCAACATACCCAGCTACACTGCTCTAAAGAAAACTTCAAGAGGGAAAACTTCCTGATACAAACTGTGGCTCAGCTGATGGACATGTGGATTTGTCCCTGACCAACTACCACCTGGCTCTGCATTCCAGAGACAGAGGTGCTTTAAGTAGGAAACATCAAAGAGACTTGGTTCCAACATCGGTTCCTTCTACTAGCAGAAGCAGCCCCCTATGTTTCACTTTACCACTTAAGCCAAAAACGCTCAATGCCTATCTACAGGGAATTATTCTATGGTTTTTAGCAAATACGTGCAACCTTCTCCCTGGTTAAACACAGGAAAACAAATTATATACAGTATGTTGCTGTTTTCACTATCTAGCTCTAGTTTGTCGAAGCCAGACCAGTGTTGGAAGTTGCCCTTTGTGCTCCAGCACCATTGGTATCTGCACAGGCAGCAGCCCTTCAACTCCTTACCTGCCAGCTCTTGGTGAACTCCTGCACGTTGTCAGTGAAGGAATGATTAGGAAGTACCCATTCGTTTCCAGCTTCATTATCATTGGTACCAAAAAGCCCAGCTGAAATACCTGGAATTAAATTAAAATGGAGTAAAATAGCAGTTGTCAGGAGTAGACCTGAGAAGATTTTAGAAGCTGTCTCTGGGCTCTGATTATTCTGTACAGCAGAGCTCAGCTGTAATGCAGAAGAGGGAAGGTCTGCCCAGGCATCCATTAAGGATTTTTCTCAGACTGCATTACCATCTTGTTTGTTAGTGGTTCATTTGTTTCTCCTGACCAGATGAAGGCATCATAGCTGTTCTCTGCTAATCTCAGGGGTCTGAGTTTTAGAATAGTGTGGGGCACATGGATAGGAATGTATTCACAGTATACCAGAAACCCTGGAAGTTGTTAGGCCTCCCTCTTTCATGCTCTTGGAGGCTGGACAAGCTAAGCCTGCTGTAGAGCAGCCATTCTCAAATGGGGTTTGAGGTTGGGCTGACTGCATTACATCCACTCCGTATTTCTATGTGCTTTATTGCATCGAAACAGTAGTAACCCAGGCAGACGTTTGCTCTTCTTACTGGAATGCTGCATACTGTGCTTTATTTGGCAACAACTGGGAATGCCCAGGGCCATTTCCCAGGTGTGTATAATCAAGTGGGGAAGAGCAAGTGAAAGACAACCCATGTGCTAAAGATACAGAAAAAATGACTAACAGGTGACAAAAGCTGTATCATGGATACTCACCGTGGTGCCATCCAGCCAGAGTGACAGTACACAGATCATACTGAAAGTCACAAGAGACAGAAACTCCTTTCTGATTAGACACTTCTATTTTGTTGGTTTCTCTCCTTGAATTACTGGTATTCTTTTCAAGGGGTTGATCCAGTACTTGGCAGTTCTCTTCCATAAGGGAAAAGTTATACATCTTGGCTATCTGTTTTAAAATGAAAATGCAATTTCAGATATGTCACAGTGAAAGTTCAGTGACAGGCAAGCTCAGGCTGGGTTTGCAGGTGGGATGGGGTTGACTTTGCTGAGCCCAGAGTTACAAAGTAAGAACAGGGTTGTGTTAAACTTCTGCAAGAGCTGGAAAGCACAAAGCCTCCCAGGTGCACTGAGTCTATGGGCCCCATTTGTCCTCCAGACCTCTCTGACTGCCATTCTCTTAGACCATGTAAGAGGAAAGCTGGAAAGTTCATCAAGCCTCTCTTATTTTAAATACCCAGAGAGCAAAGAGGCAGCCCCTGAGTTAAAACTGGTTTTGTTATGGGGAGTTATTTCCTAATTAGAAAGTGGTTACTTGCTAGCACTTAGATCTGAGACCTGTTCTGATCTATGTTTTGAGCATTAATATTTTGAAGACTTTTTTTGTTGTTGTTGTTAGTTGGTTGAAGATAATTTCTGGTCTGGAAAGGAAGAATGTTTGACTTTCCCCTCCTACCTTCAGTCTTGGGTAGATACTGATCACGGTCTGGTTCATCTCCACATACAGGGATCTTAAGTTACGAGTTTCCTCGTTTAGTATTACAGTGAAAGTATCGCGAACAAAATCCTTGGCAAGAAGTACACTGCACTTTGATGCCAAATCATAAAATTTTCCATCAAAAGTCATAATATGCTTGGTGCCCATTAACATAGCATGATCTAGAGAACGATATTTCAGAAGAAACATCAGTGAGTTTTCCGCAGAGCAGTAAGTGCTGTGCTACTACTTGCATACTGCAACACAAACAGCTTCCGGCTGGCATACTCTTAAAATAATTCCTCCATCTATTATTACATTTTAGCTACAAGTTGCTCTGCAAGAAAAGTTTCTCCGGAAAGGAAACGATTTCTTAAAATGGATCCAGTTACAAAACAAAGCATCACTTTGAAAGAGCTTACATTCAAAGGGACTCTCCATCATCCTCCGCTTGAATCTATAATACTCTGCAACTATGTTGATATTATAGAGGTCTTGGAGAGGCCTCATTAGCTTTTCTTCAATGAGATAATTAGTAATATTTGCCAGATCCAGGGAGCGGTCTGCTTTAGGAAGTACTGGCAGTTTTATTGCCACCGAACAGTTCCTGTAGAATACAAACAAAACAGCCTGTGCCCTTATCTGCTAAACTGATGAAATGCAGTTGCTTTATTATTAGAAATGTGGAAGTGAAATATTCATAAGAACTGTAGTCTGGTGAGAATGGCAAAACAAAGACACACAATGGCTAAGCCCTGCAATGCACCGTGCCATATAAGGCCAGTTATCACAGTTATTGCTACCGAGTAGCTTCCTTTGAAATGCAGCCTGTCCTGGCAGCCAACAAAAACAAACATTAGGTGTGATGCCATGTGCCCAAAGCAAAGGACGGTTGGTTGTCCGCAACCCTCAGCGTACCAACTGATAGGAACACTAACTATGCACAGACCCATTGAGAACACTACCAGCAGCAGGGATCCTGCAAAAAAACACCCCTTACCTGGCTGAATAACTGTAAAGGTTGAGCAAAGGCTTCCGGATCTTGCTCACAGCTCTAGAAAACATGGCCTCTGCCCACCTCAGCATCTGGTGTGTACTCTGTTGGAGAGCCAGGAAAGGAGATTACAAACCTGACGAGTATGGCTTCAGGGCAGGGTCAGTATCTTATTATCAGTACTTGATAATAAGTTTTTAATCAACAGTCAGTGAAACAGCACTTAAGTCTCTTGCATTTGTCACTTGCCTGACAGCATCTTGTCATTTGGAGGTTAATATCCAGAGGACAGACACTAGTCACTACAGCAATAAATAATGGACAGAAATGACATAACTTAAAAGTATACCAATACTTCACTGAGCTAATGTGCTTCAGTAGTTTGCAAAGGACTGATATCTTCAATATATATTGGTGTCATGATATATGCGTTATGCTCTTCATTTCAACTAGAAGAGCCCAAGCCCCTTTATACATTATTTGTTGGAATCACAATCCTTCCCTCTCTCTGGAAGAAAAGCAAAAGCTACACGAATGACAGATTACTGCTCCTGTGATTTCAACCAAAACCAGTAAAACAAGCTTTCCTCTAGCTGGAACTGCTTTCAAAGCAGGACAAATATTTAAAGAACAGGAAATTAGCTGTGCACAAGCTTGTTATGTGGAAAGATAACTGCACTATTTCCATAAACAAAAATATTTAACTATTTTTTGTATCCATAGTTCAAAGCCGAGACTTAAATTTGCAGACCTTGCTTTTCAAACCATTAAAAATGGAGAACTGAGTTATACCAACCATATCCAAGCCTGCTTTCACAACCTTTAATGCCACCTGGATAGGTTCCATTAGCCACACATCTTTTACAATCTTGGGTAAAAAAGCCTGGATTTTCTTCATGTACTCTTCTGTCTTCTCTTGCCAAACTTCATCCAGTGGCTTCAAGGTTACATCGTAGTAGGCATCCTTCAAAGTTGCTAATGGCCCTGAAGTAAACACATCATAGCAAACAAACCTCAGCTAGTATGGTACAAAGTGGCTGTTTGTTTGTTCGCCTGCAGCTTCAGAGTAAGCGAAGGAGAGACAGAAAATGGGGAAAGGCAGCTTTGCTTTCATGACACGTGGGCACACTTCACAGCTGTGTGCATGGACACAGTGTTATGAAACTGGAAGAGGCATTTAGCTGTATAACCCTGATCCACTCGTATGCCTTATATTATAAATACATTGCTGCTTTCCAAAATAAATGTAAGGAATGCTTTGTAATTTGCCACCATCAGAGCTGTATAGCTCAACCTGCACCTGCTCAAGGAATAACAGGACAGTTTGGTCACAACTAATTTCAAACAGGGTTTATCAACTAAATCCCGCTTTTGAGTGGGAAGAGCCTAGATGTAAGTGGCTCAAAGTGAGCTTTTAGTCTTGTGAGAACTGAAGGTTCCCTCAGTTAATTACAGCTGATCACACTTCTCAATGGTTTCAACATGGGCCATAGTCCTGCTGAACAGTGCATTAGGCTACTGAACAGACTTGGAACAAACCAACAAGCAAAATCCTATCACTACAAGCATTCAGAACTCAAGGATGGATACGAAGAGCCCTCCGGGAGGAAACGCTTGCCAGGGGACTGTAAGCAGAAATGCTTCAGTTTAGGAATTAAGGCCCTTCTCATCCAATGCAACCCAGGCTCCTGTGTCTCTGACAATGCCTCTTCAATGATTTAATCAGAAAGGTGGTGACACCGAGGCTGCTTACAGCTTACTGCATCAAGGCTCCCACTCTGTAAATTAACAGCCAAGGTCAGCACTTTTGCTAGATCAAACAGAACCATTTGTGCTGTTCAGTACTTTTATACTTGTTTGGTTTGCGCTGCACTGACATTGTCCTTATTCTCCTTGCTTTGCATGGTTTTTCTTACTTTGCAATTCATTCTGCATTTGCTGGACAATGTCTTGAATTTTATTCAGGTAAAGTGGGAGCTTGCTTCTCAGGATCTGCCTGATTCCACTTTGCTTCCACACCCGGGCAACAGCTCTACCCACACTGTGGAGGAATCCTGATACTTTTTGCAAGGCTATCGAAGGCCAGCCAGCTGCTTCAGACAGAAAATCAATTTGCTGCACCTACAGGGGTTCCCAAAAGAGAAAAAATATCAAAATACGCGGAGATGACAAGCAAAGCTTTGACTCCCTTCCAAAGCAATTGTGAACTCAGTGTTGGTGCAGAGATATAGATCTTCACCATGAAACATGCTTTTTGCCTATGTATGAACTGCAGCTTAGCACAGGATTAACCATTTGAATGTTTGAGCAAAACAAACCAACTGCATTTAATATAATTATTTTTAATTAACACTGAATGAATATTTCATGGTGCTTTCACAGATGCTGTACAGATACTTACTGATCTCCTGAATCTCCACATATATTCGTCAAACTTCTTTATCTTCTCTAGCAGTTTGGTTTTCAAAATGCTCCCAATTTCATTAAGTTTGTACTGTGAAAAGATGAATAGAACCCCTGAATTTATGATTTAGGATTGCTTGTGCTGGGTCCAAATGACTCATAGTTTGTACTAGTTTAAATGCCAGCAAAGATCCACAGTGGCATCCCATTTCTCAGGGGAAATGACTTCTGTGTTATTCAGTGGTCAGAAATGGGAACAGAAGAGTCTAAGGATGAAAACCCAAAGAGCCTCCTCCAAACAGAGTATGTGAAACCCTATTAGAAGTAAAAGCACATTCAGGAATTCTAATACTGTTTTTGTAACCAACATGCTGAGCAGCTCTGGCACATTACTACTGCTCTTGCTTTAGTTACTTATCATATTCAGAGGCTATATCCTTTACGAAAGGGTCCCATATGTTCTGTGCTTTCTAGGTATGACTGAACTTTTTAATTCTCACTGTACTATCTTTTCACACCAAAATTAAAAATAATGTTATTATGAGTTTAAAAATTTTATCATTCCCGTTTTTTTTCCCCTCGTTACTCACCAAAACTCACACCTGAAGCCTACTGGAAGACATTCCATCACACTGACAAGGTTAAACAATATTCTGCAATTAACTGCCACCGAAGGATCTCACCTCAGCCTTAAAAACTGGATCCCTGCATCCATGAGCCAGAAAGCTCAAGCTTCCATTAAGAGCTGCTAGAGTCACTTGTGCCATGGTTTCCTGCCTTTCACCATTAATGCTGAGGTAGGTATTAAGGGTGGCCATCTGCCGCCCATCAGTACAAGCACTGACTTCCATTCCTTCTTCCACCGCCCCTTAAATAATGAAAAGAGAGAGCTTCATTTACAGGAACAACACTGACAGGCATTATGTGAGAGACAAGAAACAAGAAACCAGAAACCAGGGCTGTGAGAAACTAAGAAAAACAGCCTGAGAAAGCAAAAGTCCAACTCCCTGCTCCTTCCAGGACTACCTAAAACTAAACCATATGATTAAAAGTGTAATCCATTAAGGTACGTACCTTTCAAATACCCCATGTAGTACTGAAAACACTCCTTTCTTTTAGAAGCAGCTACTTTAACTTTTTCTTTCTGATCAATAATCCCCTCCATCAGGATTTGGCTCTGAACAGATGAGGAAGTAGCCGTTCCTGTCAGGCCTAGCCAGATATCTTCAAAGGCTCTTAACTGCAGCCATAAAAGAAAAACATTTATTCAAAATCACCACAAATGAACATTCAGAGATGATGCTCGTATATCAGTGCTTCCCACAGAAGGGTAAGTGGTGAGGGAAATGTTTTCCAATGCTTGTGCACCACACAGGAGTTACACTCTTAAGAGAGGCACAAGCATTAGTTTGAGAGCTGAATGACTGGATAGCACGAGGCTTGTTTGTGGACAAAATTTTAATTGTAGCAATGGAAGAAACATCCTCTAACAGTCAGTTCCCTGTGAGGCTGCTAATTTGTGCCATTTATTTCAAAACAAAGAATAGAGAAAGTCCAAGTAGAGCAGCTGATACTTCTTTCCAAAGAGAAGGAAAAATAATTTAGTATTTGTCTTAGCCTGTTACTGATTAAATCATCATCATTTTGTTAAGGCGTTGCCTAGTCTCAGTTAATTATGACTGACCACTCACATTCCTTCTAATGAAGAGTTTGGATGGTGCTGCCCATATTACTGTTCTGCCTCACTGTTGCCACCATCAGCTTTCTCCACCTTATTCATTTCACAGAAAATCAAGAGCAAATGCAAAATAGAGGGGGAGAGAAAAGAAGAGATTTGCCTCAGAATGAGCATCATATTAGCTATTCTGTGCCTTTCTTAAGGCCAGTTCTTTCTTCTGGCAACTGATGAGTTTAGTCTCACATTTTGTTTCCCTCTTTTTTTTTTTTTTTCCAGTGGTACAAAAACCCATGCCTCACCAAACAGACCAGTCATGCTGAAGAAGGTGAGCTACAGTAACACACAGCCTCTTAAAACTTTTATATACTCCAGTTGATATACACTTACTATATGTGTCACTGACCTCTGCAATTAACTGTTCTTGGTGCTTTCCTTTCTCTCTTGATCATACTGTATGCACATGGCATAACTGCTCCTTTAAAAACAGAACTAAAGAAACCAGGAGTATTTTATATTGCCTGTACTTGCCTGTTTTAGTCACTGGTTGCACCTGATCAGTTTGGAAGATAGATGGCAGTAGGCCTTTAAAAACCAAAAACCAAACCCCAGTGCCACTGAAACAGAACAAAAACTCACTTCAATTTCCAAAGAATAGTTCTTCACATCAGCTGTACTCCTATTTTTTAAGGATACTCCAACCAATCCCTCATCTCTCCCATCAGCAAGCTGGAATCTGCCCTCTGAGTGCAAAATGATGTCGCCTTTGTTGAGCTGGTGTTTTCCAGAGAAAACAATTACCTAAGTATGAACAAAAAAGGCATTAAAGCTTAATTCTTCCAAAGAAATGGGCTCTGCATAGAGTGGTAAGAGGTTGTACAATGTTAGCATTCTCATGAAATTACACAAGGGTGTCAGAAACCAGCACATCCTCCGTCTCACAGCACTGTTTTACTTCATTACATATTCAGTTTCTGTGGTATAACAAACCATGTTCAGTGATTACAGCCTAAGACAAGATGAACAGCTGGAATAACTGCATTGTATTAAAACAAGTCAATTTATTTTTTTTGTTTCTTTACGCTTCTCAACTACTCTAGCTAGGCAATTTTGATGCATGCCTTTGAAGAAAAGGATCCAAAAGAATACAGAGGCACCTGATTGCAAAGTGACACACATATGCATTTTTTGCATTATAAACAGGCTCTACCACACTTTGGTCTTGGAAAAAGTTTTCACTGGCATCAAAATTTTCCTACTATTTCCCAGTGCTAACAGGGTGTGACCTGCTCTGAAGTAAATCAGGAAACCAACTGAGATGCATTTTAGCCACTGGAAACAGACCATGTTTATTATGAGTTTGAAGTTTTGTGTTTGTTGTGAATACCTACAGGCAACTCTGGGGTCCAATGTGCACCTAAGGAAGAGCATGGATGGGTCTTTGGTCTATGTGTGTAGTATAAAAATAAATGACAACTATAAGGTTACAATAAGGTTCAAAAATCCATCACTACCAGCAGGGCTGTGAGAGATGACATAACTCCCGGAAAAAGGGACTGAGAGCGCTATAAGGGATGGGGGGCAGCAGAGGCCCTCTGAGCTGAGGAATGTCTCAAACACTCAAAAGTAGCAAAACTACAGTCCTGGGGTGGATAGTGTGGAGTTTAGAGCTGGAAAGGCTGCCTGGGTAGCACAGGGTGCAGCTGGAGGAGGGAGCGCTGTGAAGGCAGGACAGTTCTACTCTGGTGCATCTTGTAAAGTTCGAAGGACTATCTGTCCAGTGAATGACCTTTGCTTCATTATCCACAAAATGCATATTGAAGTTAACATCCCTGCATATGCTAATGAAGATTAACAAGATCTTGCTCATTACATCATTCCATGAAGAACCTTACCCCTCCCCATCCATGGGATAGGTAGATAGGTGGGTCAACCTAGAGGAGGGACCCAAGGAAAGTGTGTATAAATTGAGGGGAGGCAAAGAGTGAAGGAGAAGAAGACGGATGCATCCTTGAACCCTCACTGTCAGGACTGACACAGGAACCCAGGCCAGTGATGTCTATTTCTACCTCTCTTGTGCTCTCTCTTTTTTTTTTTTTTTTTTTTTT